GTCATCATGACACGCATGCTGAATCTGGTTTTGATTTCTCATATCCTAGAATCACCGGTATAAAATGAATCTTGAAACACGGTAGGTGCTCTTAATAATGACATCCATGGAACTTTTAACTATCATTTAACATGAGTCGGAGGAATCAAAAACAGTTGTTGTTTATTCTGCAGTCAACAGAATAAGAGCTCGCTGTGTTTATTTATTGTTTTCAATCATTGCGTTCATTTCTATAATACATATACATACATTTATTCTTCGAGTGCTACACAGAATCGTTAGCTTATCGTTTTAATGGTGGTAGGTATATACCATAAATCAACACGACTCTAAGCAAAAGTTTTGCAGATCATCCAAACAGGTACGGTATTAAAAGTTAATCCGCGTTAGAGCACCGCCACGGGAGGCGCTATCTCTATCCCTATAATAAGGCTCCATCTAGGTAGCTATTTTAGCTTAGCACCCCATTCTTCCACCGGTAATGCATATTTTGAGTTTAGTGACTTGAGTAATGTCTTTTCATCGTGTATTGCTAAAACTCAAAACAATATACATACCCACGAAGAACATCGTCATATTGATGTAATATTTAATTTTTATCAGTCGATCGATGTGCAATAGTTGTGTAGTTATATCATGAATATTCCAAATGCATTGACGGCAGATTGTTTCCCGGGAGCAGCTGATTCCATCGTTTTAAGTGACGAGGAAGACATTGAAGTTGTAAATCATTATGTTTACCAGTCACATGAACTGTTGTTAAGGGCTTTGGAAGAAGACGAGAAAAATCGAGCTGGAGGATCTCGGCCTGGAAAAAAAACCGAATATCAACAAAGGTGCTCATCTAGGAGCTGAGCGACTGTTGCATGATTACTTCTCCGATAATCCCACGTATAGTGATTCACAGTTTCGGCGGCGGTTTCGAATGTCCCGAAACTTGTTTACAAAGATTGTTGCAGAAATAGAAGCCGCGAATCCTTACTTCGTGCAAAAGCGAGATGTGGCTGGTAAACTAGGATTAACTGGCCTTCAAAAATGCACCGCCGCAATCCGTCAGCTTGCATATGGCATGCCAGCGGATGCTGTAGATGAATACATCAGGATGGCAGAGACAACAGCGCTGAAATCTCTTGTGGAGTTTTGTGAAACCACTGTTCGTATTTACGGCCCCGAGTACCTACGCTACCCAAAACCTGACGATGTGGAGAGGTTGTTGCGTGTTGGAAAGAGTCGTGGATTTCCTGGAATGCTAGGATCCTTAGACTGCTGCCATTGGACATGGAAGAATTGCCCTACAGCATGGGTCGGCCAGTTTCGCGGAAAAGAGAAAAAACCAACAATCGTCCTGGAAGCAGTAGCAAGTTACGATCTTTGGATCTGGCATGCCTTTTTTGGGATGCCAGGTTCAAATAATGACATTAATGTTCTTGACCGCTCTCCATTATTCTCGGAGATATACAATGGCAGAGCTCCACTTGCTAAATACACAGTAAACGGGCGACAATACAGCGTTGACTACTATCTTGCAGATGGTATTTACCCACCACTAGCAACATTGGTACAGACAATTTCTTCTCCAGTTGGACTAAAAAAGAAGGTAACAAGGATTTTTTTAATATAATTTTATCAAAGAAAAATTAGACTCTGATACATCTGATAGGGTAAACGCTCCTATAGTTGCGGTACGTTAGAAGCGTTAGGTTCCTATAGTTGTGTATTGAGTCTCCATACACAACTATATAGGAACCTAACGCTTCTAACGTACCGCAACTATAGGAGCGTTTCCCCTACATGTTATTTTCTCATATTCTCAGCACTACGCACAAATGCAGGAGTCTGCCCGGAAGGATGTCGAGCGAGCGTTTGGTGTATTGATGTCGCGGTTCGCAATCATTAAAACACCGGCTAGGCTCTGGCAAAAAGATGTCTTGGAATCAATAATTACAGCTGCATTATTATCCATAACATGATCATTGAAAATGAAAAAGATGATCCAACGATCTGTGAAGCGAACCCTGAAAGCAACATCGATGAAATTACAGCTGACATCCATCGGATAGGTCCAGAAAATCAGGAGAAATTTGAGACATTTTTGTCACGGTACAAAGCTGTTCATGATACTAACCAGCACTTTCAATTGAGGAATGACCTAATAGAGCATCTATGGGCAATGAAAGGAGAAGAAGATGAGGAAGAAGATTAAAGTGATGAATTTTCAGGTTTCAAATATGTTCCAGTAATCTACACTACAGCTTCAATAAAAACTAGAGTATAAATTCTGGTAAAAATAAAGCAATGTGGATTGATAAATACCACTACAGTCTGGTCTCCCAAACTCGATAATGAATATGGGGTTATTAAACCCATAACAAAGTATGAGCATGTACTCTTGAAGATGGTATCGTCCCTGCCAGGTTCAAGTTCATTTTCTATAACATTACATCTTCCGTAAAGCTGGGTTTAGATAGGGCAAGTCAGTTGAATTCAACTGACTTGAATGCGAATTGAACGTGTAAACCATGCCATTCAACTGACTTGATCAACTCACTTGAATTGAAAAAAAGTTGAACCAGGCTCAACTTTTCAAGCCAATTGAATTCAACTGAGTTGATCAATTGACTTGCCTTGTCTCAACTCAGCTTAACTCGATATCCTCCCTAATTGAATTGTGGTTTCAGTATTAAAGTGTCGAATGTATTGAGGAGCATCCATTAATTGCGTCATGCGAGATTGAGGTAAAATTAATCCCCCTCTGCCATTCGTTACGTTTTTGTTATATTTTATGCATTGCTTGTCATATATTTCTAAGCCCTCTTCTTCCCTTAGAGTGAGATGTAATCAATGGATGCCCCCTTGGGTTCGTTCTGTATTCTGGGAACCAGAATGATCAAGTAGGGACACAATGAGACTGGTGATGTTCGTAATGCTTCGTTACGTAAAATGATAAAGTTAGATAGGGGATATCCCCCAGCCCAGACATCTCTCAATACCGTACATTGCTGATTTCCATGATTTCAAAGGTAAATTTGTATCACTAATATGGTGGAAGCATAAAACAAGAAGTAAGAAGAAGCATACATTCCAAAACACATGATTAACATGAAATACTGTGATAACCATAACTATCTTCGGAGCAAGACTCATTCTCTGAATTGGATGGCGCCTCGGCACAAGCCTCGGGAACCCAGATGCTCTCATCAGTGTTGGAATCTGCGTTTGATCTCGCATCCAGGATATGAATAGAGCCTGCGTCATATTCATCCTCAGAATCAGCAGGTGGGGTTGGAACGGTTTTGGTGGCATCGTTGCTGTTTGAATCGGCATTTACTTGCGGACCCGGAGGCATTGCTGTGTCGTCTTCATTGATGGGTACTTCCAAAAGAATCTCTTCATAAGACTGGCCGCAACCAAATTGTCCCACATTATCCATAGCAGCTTTTCGTGTTTCGTTGAGGATACGTGTTTGTTCCAGAATATAGAATTCTCTGGCCATACCAGTCATTTTATCCAAGTCGATTGACATTATAGCATGGTTCACCATTTGCTTGTAAGCCACAGTTCTCTGGATGCTGTCTTCGAGTTTTTTTTTGGTCAAAGCAGCTAAAATTCTCCCATTATTTGCCATTGCCATACTAGCATCCGCAAAGCTTTTCCTTGAAGCTTCCGCTGTTTTGCTTGCTTTCTGTCCCATTGGCCGAGAGCATCCAGCTCCGGAAGTATTCTCCGCTTCGTCACATGGTAATCCAACTGCTTGCTCCTCTTCCGCTTCTTGAGGAGTGGCTGAGCGTTTACGCCTCCCAGTTACTGTTGATTTCTGAACAAAAATATGAAAGAAATCATTTTGTACATACATATTCAAGCTGGAAAAACCTACCTGTTTTGCTGTGGCTTGTTGGATCCATTTTGGAGCACCCTCCAAAATCTTGAAGCAGTGCATCAGACTGAATGATGTTCCTTCCTTGGTGTTATACAGCATAAGCGCTTGCTGCAACACGTCCTCCGGAGAAGCACCGCTTTGTTGCCGGGATTGAACCTGTGCCAGGCAGCCAGCAAACTTATTCACGCTTCTGTTTATGGTTGACCACCTGGACTTTATCCCTTTCATTCCCCGCTGCTCGGGGTCAACAGCAAAGTTTTTCTCCCGGCAGATTTCTGCAAACATTTGCTGGATTCTGCCATACAATGTTTCTGCCTTCTGATTTGTTCCTGTGATGGGGTCCTGGGACACATCCAACCACGCGAGACAAAGCGCCGTATCTTCTTCGGATGTCCAGCTTTTTCCTCTTGCTTTGGTATTCATCCTCAAAAAAAAAAATGAAATTTAATGCACTGCGAAACAAATCGAAACGTAAACTTAACCACGAAACGTAAACAGAAAAGCAGAGCAGCAGTGTCACAAGCAAACAAAATAGCGACCCAGTGCAGAGTTTTAGTGGGGCGCCAAATATGAAAACTCATAACTTGATTTTTGTTGCGTTCTCATTTCCCAACCCCGTTTAGCTACTACCGGTGCGGGCATAAGTTGCTATATGGGGCTCGAAAATAGAGATAGGGACCCGTATGGGGACTCCCGTGGCGGTGCTCTTAGAGCTTACCGCTATTAGTGACAATCGATGTATTTGAATTGTGTGTAGATCACTAATAGCGAATTGGTTTATTATTCAGTTACAACCTGGATCGGGTATCAATATTGGGTCTGCTTGTGTTCTGTCAAACGTCAGTTTGATCGATTATTTTTAAAACCTATCTCAGGTTGAGGTTCGCACTAACAAAAAGTTCAGTTTCGCTTATAGAGATTAAATCTAGACCAACAATCGAAATAGGCGGAACAATCAAAAGTAAACAATGAGTGTGTTTTGATTCTCTAGAAATTTGCGTTTAAAGCCATTGTTTACGTTTGATTGATCCGCCTATTTAAATTGTTTGTCTAGAAATATTAGCTTAAGCACTGTTCCCATTTTGGGTTGCTTATATTCATTCCTTTTCATTTTCCATTCCAGAAACTACTTCGCTCCAAAAAGACTCGTGAAATTCGTGGTCCCATAGCGTACGCTCATAAATTCATCGACATGACAACGGCAGTAGTTCCGTATTACAATCGCACAACCCAACGGAAGGAAGAAGTACACGGGTGCTATCCCGCCATGGGATACAGTTTTGCAGCTGGAACCACAGACGGTCCAGGAGCATTCGATTTCCGCCAGGCAATGCTCACGGATACCACATTTTGGAATACTGCAAGAGATTTGATAGCCGTTCCCACGACGGATGATATAGCGTGCCATGCTCCCAAACCAATCTTGGTGGCAAGTGGTCGTACGACATTTTCGTACGAAACGCAGCCCAAAATTGTACCAGTACAGATTCTGTTGCTGAGTGATTTTGCCATAGCAGCTGTTCCAGCTGAGTTCACAACCATGTCCGGACGACGATTGAGGAAGACTATCGAAGGTGCATCATTGGTAGCCGATGGGAAGAAGGTACAGGTGGTGATAGCTGGGTTGTCGAATATGTATACAAGCTACGTAGCGACACCCGAAGAGTATGCCATTCAAAGGTATGAAGGAGCATCAACGTTGTACGGGCCTCATACTTTGACGATCTATTTGTATCACTTCAAGAAGCTAATGAAAGCGCTTGTCAACAGAAGGAGAGTTGAAGAAGGACCTTCTCCACCCTTTGAAGACTATAAGCAGATCACGCTCTCTACAGGGGTAGTATACGATGGACATCCCTTCCGAATGTACTTTGGGGATGTGCAGGACCAGCCAAAAGAAACCTACATGCGAGGAGATACAGTCCAAGCGTCGTTTGTCGCTGGAAATCCCAGAAATAATTTAATGCATGAAAAGACGTATTTCACGGTTGAGAAATTGGTGGGAGACGATCAGTGGAAAGTGATTGCTACGGATGCTAGTTGGGAAACCAAGTTCAAATGGATTCGAAAGTCAACGCTGTTCGCCTACAGTGATATCGAGTTTGAATGGGAAACAGGTCCAGAGACAGCCGAAGGAATTTATAGGATACAACATTTCGGGTATTGGAGATACATTTTAGGAGGGACTTACCCCTACAATGGTACTACAAGAAATTTTAGCATTTTATAGATAGGATAGGAGTTAGAATTTATAGGTTTACGTACTATAAAATGTGATACAAACGCAGTAACAAAAACTAGTCAAGCCTTAGAGAACGGTTTGTTTCATTGATTTATGATGACCGCCGGGCAGGCCTCCACGAGTAACCAATGTCTTTTTTTTTTAAATCAAATTGGGTACAAAAATGTCAATCCACAAAAACTGTGCACCAAAATGCATAAGGTCAGTTTTGTACATTACTGTGCACCAGTGATGGAAAGTTCATTTTGCCGTTCTTCAGAGAATCATTTCGGTGAAGAATGAGCTACGCAAAAACCACGAATGAAATGGGAATAAAAGTTTCCGAACGATTCCGAAAGAGAACTCTGGTTTCGCTCACCCAATCTTTTTCACTAAACATCGAGAAACGAGCTAGATGAGTTTCTTGTCTCCTTTATCATGTTTCGTCGGGGAGTAATATGAAATCCTCTCGGTGAACTTTTGCCACTCTGCTGATGTTTTCTTTTTCTTTTTTTTTCCTTGATTTCTTTTCCGTCGATCTTGGGTTCTCAGAATATCCTGGCGACGCCGACTGGGATTGAACCCAGGCCTGCTGGGGTGAGAGGTAACTAGGCCTATTCTGCGCGGCGTGTGAGGTGAGGTGACTCACTGTCACTAGTGAAGTGACAATTGTCACCTCGTCTGAGGTGACTCTCTATTTAATTTGCATGAAGAGTCACTTCACCATCACTTCACTGTCACCTCACCTTACACGTCGCGCAGAATAGGCCTAAATCACGCTTACCACTACACCACCAGCGCCGCTCAGTTTTCTTTTTCTAGATTAGGTGTTATGCTTTATGCATGATGATATTTAAGCTGCATACATGTAAAGTGGACCCTACATGTTTGTTTTAATTGAAAATAATCGTATTGTCAATACATTCTATATTAACGTCAATACATCGGTATTGACAATAATTCAGTATTCACATCATCAATGTTATTGTCAATAATTCCCTTTCGCGTCAATATATTTATACGTGTGGGGTTCACTTAAGAGTAACCCGCCCAAGCGACATTGCAAGTTTTATCGAGGTTTTAAACCATTCTACATGTCTAATTCATGGTCTACATAACCCTCATAAACCCATAAATGTTACTTAGACGTGCATTATTATTGGTGGAAGAATACATTCAGGATGCATTTAATATACATTTATAAGGTTATCACTTTCTGTAACTTTTGTTCTGCGTTACGCATAACAGCAATTCTAACTTCAACGGTTGCTTAGGATTTACGGATAAAGTACAAACTACGAAAAAGTCGTGTAAATTTTGGTTCCCTGAGACCGACACATGTAAGCGGCCCTTTTGACATAAGAATCAGTTGAAAGAAACGAGAAAATCAATTCAATAAAATGCTCTCTTCGTCGACTTTCTCATGTTTCGGTTTGAGGGCACTTAATTTTACATGAAATGTTTGTTTACGTTCCATGATTTACGTCCAATATGGATTACGTCTCGTGTAAAAGTAGTTATTTCTGTGTGTTATGAGTCATAGTTTGCGATCTATTTGATCACCTATCGGGAACGAATAGTTGTGTAAGGAAGTTTGAACACAAAATATCTATTAACATACGCTCTCTCTCGTTAGTGAGTCAAAGCGGGAGTGATATTAGTTCCTCAAGAAAGCAAGAAAGTTCACTTGGAAAATAACGCTATGCGAAATAGGACATGACCCAAAGCCTTATATTGCAACAGATGGCATTTTTTCAGTGGTAGTATAATCGAATTTTCGGGGTAAACAATATATTTAAACTAGAAATTTATGCAGATATTAGAATATTTTGTATGAGTACCCATTTCTTTTTTTTTTAGTATACATTGCTTTTTCCCTAGCGAAAACATCTTGCTTGCGATAACGAACTTTTGACAATATTTCCAACACTGCTGTGCGCTCATCAGCAAAATTGCACAGCAAACATACTTAACAAAAAAGTATGTACACTAAGTTTTCGATTCTTCCAGGTGATGTTCCAAGAAGTTTCGAGGAATTTTTATCACGTTCACGGTGTAGTGTAAGCTTCCGCACGATTTTGGTGGTGATTTTTGGTGCTGCCAACGGAAATTCCAGGAAATCTCTACGGTATATTCTCGTGTTTTCTGTTGAGGAACTTCCGCAAGATTCCGAGGAGATGCTGCCAACGGAAGTTCTGACAGATATCCAAATACAATAATCCGTTAGAGATAACTTCTTCAAGATACATAATTTGTCAATACATAAAAAAAAAATCTCACTAGATTTCAGTTTAAAATACTACTTGAACGTGTGGAATGCAACGTCTCTTAAATTTTGCTAGTATTTAATGTGTCTAGGTATCGAGCTGAAAACATTTATTCCTTTAAAATACGATGAATTCTGCGAAGCACATGGTAATAAATGTGGTATTCTTATTTCATCCGCGTTTCTAGTATTATATCTGTGAAAATCACATCCTCTTTCAATTTGATCATGCAAATATCGAGACTAAAACTATCTGCTATAAAAATAAACACCATAGTCAAATATACTATCCTTTGCTTCCCCGACAACCATTGTAAAGCGTCTAGCGTTACAGTTGAGGAAGTGAACCTATTACATCGCAAAATCAAACGCATTTTGTTACCTTGCAAGCGCTGTTATCACGATATTTGTGTTTCATTGGCCAACAATAAAATGAAAGGGCAGAAGTCTAGATGAGGAGAGATGATTAATGTATTTTACTGAAAATAATTAAACCGTGTTTTAGTCGACATAGAATTCCATACTTCTTGGCAATTTATAGATGAAATTGTCAATGTGAGAGTTAAAGTGGAAGTTAGTCATTAATAATCACGCCAAGATATTTAATCTCCCTAACGCGATCAATGTTCTCATCATCAATTACAACCGAGACGTTCTATTCTGCGAAATGACCGTGAATTTTGTTTTACTTGTATTCAATTTCAACTGCTTACATTTCAACCATCTTCTTAGAGATCGCAAATCTTCATTCAAGTGTCAGACGGCAACTTCTAATTTCTTAGCTATAATGAATAAAACAGTATCATCTAAAAAAAGATTAATGTCACAAAATCGCAAGTCATTAATATACATAATAAATGAATTGAGCCTTAATACACTTTCCTGGGGCACTCCAAGGTTATTCCCCACGGTACTGGAAACATAATCATTACAAACAGTTCGCTGAGTTCTGTCACACAAATAGCTTTCAAACCATTAATATTCAGTACATATAACTGCAAAGCGCTTGATTGGTACTTAACAATAAGGGCCTAGAAATTGTTTAAAAAGCGCGTTTCAGATCCAAAAAAACAGCAACAATCGTATCTTTACGCTCCAAGTTGTCTTTCCACTTTGCTAACATCAAATTCAAGGCAGTTTTACAAGAATGACCTTCCCGATATGCTGATTGTTCTGGTATCAACAAAGAGTTGCTATTCAAATACTCCAACAGCTGGCATTTAACAACAAGTTCATACATTTTCTCAAATGTGTGCAACATGTTGATTGGACGAAACTCTTCGGTTTTAATCGTTCCAGCAACCACTAATGATTCCTTTCACAGTTGTTGCACACGTTAAATTAATCCGTTTAGTTAATAAGTTAATTAAATTCCTTAGCTTTCCTTCTTGCAATCCAGGTATCTGAAGAAAAAAGGTTCAATTAGTTAATTTGGTAGCATTAAAAGATATTTAGGCATTTTGGCTTCCCATGAACATTTGTTTTCATTCTGACATAATGCTTATTTCATTATTTCCATGATTGCTCCTTACAACACCAGATCGCAGCACCAGTCTCATTTCGGCGGGATTTATAAAGCATGGCCTGTTCTCTCTCTAATAATAAATCGGAATTTATCTCTCTTTAAACAAGTTTGTTTATATTTTGTTCCTCTTTTTGCCATTCTCCTCTTCGGCTTGCGTTAGGAGATGGACAGCTGAATGCCGGTTCGATAATGAAACATATGATTCACCACACCAAAGCATACATACACGCTCGCAGCAAACGAAAACCCCAGTGAAATGGACAAGAGCGGAAGAACGCTCATGCTCAGCTTGTTAGAACCGAATGGCTGCCGTTGACGCCTGAGCTGAGCTGGGTTGTTTTCCTGTTTGTCTGTTTTGACTACCCACATTGATCGTACAGCAGCTGAATGGGGTGAGATAGAGACAGTTTTTGCTTATACTCGATGATTGCTTCGATTCAGTTTTGTTCAACGACTCGGGTAGCAAACACGCCTAGCAGTGTCGATAGCAGCATTATTGTGATAAACTGCGGGTGGAGTGATTTTTATGGTGGACATAGAATATTGTTGATGTGATATTACCGGTTTGGAACAAATATTAGAATCAGGAAGTAAACTTAATGTTATTAGCGGATTTTTGTGCGTGAGCGTGAATAATGTGTTGAAGAGATTCTGATATCAATAACGGATTTACGCTGCAGTGGCATTTGAATGTGAGTGAAGGTTTGTAATGCATGCATCGTATATATTTATTTATTGAGGTGCATCATGTGAATCATGGAAAAAGTTTAAACATTAACTTGAAAGGAGACAAGGAATTTTTATCAAAAATTACAAATTCAATTTTATCGTTCAAGCCGAAATTTTGTTCACGAATATGTGTTCACTGTTTTTCGATTGACAAATAGCAGACTGTGAATACATGTTTATGGTCATTTATTCGGTTTTGAGCGAAAAATCTGTTTTTGAATATTTGAAAAATGTTCCTCGTCTCCATGCCACCCAAATGAATGAAAGAAATCAAACAGAATAAATCATCAATCATGGGAAGTGTAGGAAAGTCCATTATAGCTGTATTTTTATAGTGATATTTGAAAGTCTTTAAATAATATTACTTCTTCTATGAAGACTAACGTGTTGTGTAATTAAAGAACACGAAGTCTCTGAAAGCAGAAAAAAACTATGTTATTCTTAAAAATAATAGGTAGCTATCAAGAAAACCTTAAGAGCTACTGTTTTCAGTGGACAGTGTTCGTTATGCGAAAACAAAATACGAATCGGAAAATTTCCTGTACATCAGTCTAGGCAATATTTTGAAACACTAG